GTGTGTGTCCGGATATTTCATCTCGGCACCTAAGCGAGCTCCAGCGTCAAAATTTTGCTAGTGACTTCCCCGGCTCAGTGCCACCCCAGGACGGTGGTACCATCCCACATTTAAGTGTAGGCCCCGCGTACGAGAGGATGAAAGTTTTAGTGGGAAAATCGCTAACTCAGGAGCCAAAAAAGCCAGAAAGCTGAAATTTTGAGGTTGTGTTACCAGCCCGCATAGAACTCAAAGATTTCAAATTCAGCTTCCAAGTATGCATGGTTTCCGCGTATTACTCCGTAGGGGTTCCTGGCACGGAAGTCGCTAACATGGGAGCCAAGAAAGCTGGGAGGCTGTAATTTTCAGGGAATGTTCCCGGCATGTGTAAAACTTACAGTTACAAAAATCAGCCCCTCAGTTTGTGTGGTTCTCACATACTACCCCATGAAAATTTTTGGCGGGGAAATGGCTAAATCAGGAACGAGGAGAGCTGGGAGGCTGAAATTTTCAGAGTATGTTCCTAGCACATGTACAGTTTAAATTCATTAAATTCAACCCCTGTTTATGTGTGATTGTCACATATGACTTCGTGAAAGTTTTTAGTGCGAAAATGGGCAACTCGGTAACCAGGAAAGCTGGGGAGCTGAAATTTTCAAGGAATGTTCCAATCAAACGCAGCTCCAGGTCGTGTGTGGTTCTCACCTACGGCCCTGTGAAAGTTTTTGGTGCGATAATGGCTAATTCGGAAATCAAGGAGGCTGGGGAGCTGAAATTTTCAGGGAATGTTCCCCGCACAAGTACAACCTACACTTATCAAATTCAGCCCTTCAGTGTGTGCTGTACTCACGTACAGCCCCATGAAAATTTTTGTCAGGAAAATTGCCAACTCAAGAACCAGAAAATTTGGGAAGCTGAAACTTGAACAGAATGTCCCCTGTATAAATACTGCATAGACTATTGGTTCCCGGACTTCGAGGACCAGTGTATCACACATTTCTATCTGGTGGGTTTCCGAGCGATCTCATACAGCACGAAATATTGCAAAAACGCATGACCGCACGGGCCCACCCGGTGCGTGTCGCCAGTGTTTTTTAATTCAGCCGTCGGAGGAGCTAGTGAATTGAAACTTTTGGCGCATGTCCCCATTCTTGTAACTCTCCCGTTTTGATTTTATGTACGCTTGGGTAGCAAATGCGGGTGTGTAGAAGAAAATATGTAATTTTTTCGGTGGGAGGTCGATCTCGGGAACCAGACAAGATGGGGAGATGAAATTTGACAGCTGTGTTCTTGTATGAGCCGAACATTTCAAATTCAGCTTTAAGGCACACTTACATCACGTGTATAGACGCTGGAATTGAGGAATTGTTGGCAATGCCTTCGTGAGCATTAAACTGATTGGAACACTCGAACTTTGTGGGGATGTTTGTTTTCCTTACGTGATTAGTAGACTTAAAATGGGCTTTGCCGTTCACCTGCGTCACGTGCACGAACATGGCAAAGGCCGATTCTTCTAGCCGATCCTGCAAGGTACAAAACACGTAACAGCAGATGTTACGCGCGCTAATTTCTCGCCAAGGGGTGTGGCAAATTTCAGATAGCGACGAAATGCATGATCGTGCCGAGGACCCTGATGCACGTTGCTATTTTTAATTTTAGTTAATTGGGCTGAGGTATTCCGAGACATTTTTAACAGGGATGTTTGAGAATGTCCTGGGAATTTTCCGCCCATTTAACCAAAAAAATTGCATTAACCCAGCCAGCCATTCTTAATTCTTTTCACTTCCAGAATCTCAAGTTTAATGCTTTTTCGAGTAAAAGTGCCAGTGGGTTGACGCGAGCGTGAGTTGGTTTTTAAATTGTTTGGGAAATTGGCAGCTGTCCAAGAATAAACAAGGTGGAGTAGCAACTTGCGACACTCCAGTAGTGTATGATTACTTGTACTTCCTGAGAGGTGAGCGCTGATATGTGGTGTCGTGAATAGTTATTCACGAAAGAAGAAAAAAGGGGGTACATGAAAAAGGGATAAGTTCAAATAAGATGCAGAGGGAATGCAGCAGTTGTAAATAATTAGTAATCTTTTATTATATTGCAGTTTTTTATGCGTTTTTTGCATCTATGCAATGCAAAAACGCATATTGTCGAGGGGTTGCCTGTGTGTGTGTGTGTGTGTGTA